ATGCAGCTCCGCATCGCGGCCCTCGCGCTGATCTTCGCGGTCGCCGCGGCCGACCAGGGCGTGCGCGGCGCGGCCGCCGCAGAGGCCCCCCCTATCTCCTGATCATGCGCGCCATCCCTGGCTCCCTGCTCCTCCTCCTCTTCCTCCTCCTCCTCCTCCTCCTCCTCCTCCTTCCTACCCTCCTCCTCCTCCCCCTCCTCCTCCCCCTCCTCCTGTCCTGGCCCCTCCTTCCCCTCCCCCCCCTCCTCCTCCTCCTCCTCCTCCTCCTCCTCCTCCTCCTCCTCCTCCTCCTCTTCATCCTCCTCCCTCTCATCCTCTTCCTCATTCTCCCCGTTCCCCGCTCCTACCCCCCCTCCTCCCGCCGCCCTTCTTCTCTCGGTTGGTCACCCCGGCATGGGCGATCGGGGCGCCGTTGCGTCTTCGCTTCTCCCTCCGTGTCTCCCCCCCCCCGTCAGCATCATATCGTCCTAATCTTCGTTCTGTTTGTCGTGTCCACCTGTCCTGAGTACCCTCCCCCTCGTCCTCCTCATCCTCCTCCTCCTTCTCCTCCTCCTCCTCCTCTTCAGCTTCCTATTTCCCATGCTCGTATGTCGTCGTCTGTCGTCGTTGTCTGTCGTCGTCGTCTTCTGTCGTTGTCGTCTGTCGTCGTCGTCGTCGTCGTCGTCGTCGTCGTCGTCGTCGTCGTCGTCGTCTGTCGTCGTCGTCTGTCGTCGTTGCTTCATCGTCCATCGTCATCGCCGCCGTCTGTCGTTGTCGGTCGTCGTCTCTCGTTGCCGTTGTCGTCTTTTCCTCGTCGTCGCCGTCGTCGTCGTTGACCCCTGATCATCCTGCTCGCCCGCCCGCGCGAGTTGCCGACGGACGAGCAGACGAGGGGGAAGACCGACCTGCAGACTGCGGTCTCGCCCGAGATCGTGGACGTGCCCAAGGTGGTGGAGTTTGGCGAGACGGAGAAGGTTAACCCGTATCCAGCTGCCTCCGGCAATCCCCGCCACAGCCACAGAGCATGGTTGCCAGTGGTCCTGTGGTCAGGGTGCCCCAGCTTTTCGCGCTTTTAAAAAATCCCCTGGGGCTCTCTCGTAGAGAGTAGAAAATCCACCCCCATAAGAAGCACCCCGACAAGCGAAGCCGTTTAGTCAGCACACCCATGGAAGGAATCGAGCAGGGCAGGGCTGTTTAGCAAACGCCCTTCAGTAAACGCTGATTGTCGGGGTCGGGGTGGTTCTTCCCCCATAGATCTGGGCCTCGTAAGGGTTGCTCTGGAAGCCATCCGTCCTTCCGTTGCCAGAGGTGTCCCTGGCCCGAGTCTCACGACCCCAGGGAAGGTCCAGAGGGCCTCCAGGGCACCCCTCACGAGGCCCAGAGGGCCCCGGGGCTTCAATCGAAGAAGAAGAAGAAGAAGAAGCAGAAGAAGCAGAAGAAGAAGAAGAAGAAGAAGAAACGCCATAAACATAATTGACGCTCCGCGTGGATTTCTTAGATCTACGCTGGGCCCCCCTCCCTGGCGCGCGGAGCGCGCCAGGGGCGGCCCGGGATGGGTCGGACGTGGCCAGGACGAGGGTAAATCCGTTGCACAGCGTTCCGGAACGCTGTCAGAGCGTTCCCGGAACGCTCTGAGGAGGCCGCGGCGCCCGAGACTCTCCTCCAGAGTAGCCAGATCTCAAGGATTTTCGATTTATCCTCACCCGATGTTATCCCCGTCCTGGCTCCGTCTTGACTGAAGGCGGAGACGAGGCAAGTGTAGCAGTATGTCACCACCCACGAAACCACCCTAACCCATCCGAAGGCCCCAATGTTCCCTTCATCACCAGTGGGGGGGGCGCCGGGGAACGCTGAACAAGACACATGTGTAACCCGTGCCCCCCCCCCAACCCGGCATGTGGGTCTTCGGGTTTGGTTGGGATGATCTGGCCGATAGTCAGTTTGGGTACTCCAGATTTCGTAATAAAGGGAGGGGGGTCTCATTTCGGGGGGGGGTCTCTTCCAAGCTATCGTGGAGGGCCTGGGGGGGTCTGGGGACGATGTTTTGGAGGGTTCTCCCACGGGGGGGGGGGTCTGAAATGGCTTGTCTTGGAGGGTCCAGACCCCCTCCCTTTTATTACGAAATCTGGAGTACTTCTTCCCCCCTCCCAAGACCTCCGACGTCTTGAGTCTGTCAAGACGGGGCCCCTGGAAGTCGGGACCCTCTCTCCACGGGCCGGCTCTGCGTCCCGAGCTGCTTCTTGACGGTCCTGGGGCCTCGCGGGCCCCCCCAGAGGCCGAGCACGGAGAAAAGCCTCCGTCCCGAGTTTCTCGAGACGTTGGGGGTCTGCGTCTGGTGGTAAGTCGGGCCGGTCCCTCCACAGTGGAAATATTCAAAAATGGGTTTAAAAATAATCTGGGGACTATTTTATTAGTTTTTTTCTCTAATTCTGGGTTTGAGTATGTGTAATTTTTCGTCGAAAATCCCACTGTAGGGGGACACGCCCGACTTCACTCTGGTGGCCGAGCCACGGGTCTGCAGAGGTGCTGCTGCCCCGGCGCTCTCGGGCCACATCTCTCGGCGCGGCGGCTCTGCGGGGCCCGCGGCTTCGACCCAGAGCCTGGGCCGCTGCGCCGGCGTGGAGACCTGCACGGTCTGAGCGCTTCGCTCCCCATCGGGAACTGGAGCACATACACTACCAGCGGCGGGCTGTTTGTGAATCCGGGGACTTTTTGAGGGTCGGGGGCGACGTCGGGGTGGTGTGGTGTACACTGTTTGTCCCCGCTTTCTCGGGGAAGCGACGAAACATGTCTACACCAGGATCCCGTATGCACCAGGATGCGCTTTCTTGTGCAAGCTTTAGTGCAGGGCCGCCAAAAGCGTCGGTGTATAGACTTCGGATCCCTACCCCAGGGTAACGCTCGCTACCCCGGCCTACGACCCCCCCCCCACGGGTAACGCCGAAGATCATACTGGGGGCGGCCAGGGCCGCCGCCCATTACATGCTATGGTGCACGCTTGCGATGGATGCGCCGGTGGCGCGGACGCATAGTGGCGGGTGCACGCCGCGGCCGCCGTTATCGTCAACCCTCCCGCCCGACCCCCCCCCTGGTAACGACCGTTACCTAGGAAAGAAAACATATCCTGGCGAAGGGCCCAACCATATACAACGGTCAGTACCTCACAGCAGGTGGGACGAAGGAGGGGGAGCTCCTCATGGGGCCACGGGGCGTGTGAGGGGTATGCTGACATGAGCGGGGGGGAGCACGTGGACACCGCGAGGCTTCAATTTGGTGGAGCTCCCCAGGGGCAGGCCACGAAACGCGCGAGGGGCGTGCCGAAATGGGTCGGGGGAAACGCGTGTGATCACAGCCACTAGGGCCTTCGGTGAAGCGCCTGGGAGCGCTTGCGGGAGCGGCTGGAGAGCCCCTGGAAAGCGCCTGGAAACGCTTGGGAGCGCCTGGCTTGGAAGCGCTTGGGAGCGCATGGGAGCGCGTGGGAGCGCCTGGGAGCGCCTGGGAGCGCTTGGGAGCGCCCGGGGCGCCTGGAGCGCCTGGGAGCGCCGTGGAAATGCTTGGGAGACTTGGGAAGCGCCTGAAGCGCCTGGGAGCGCGTGGGAGCGCTTGGGGACCGCGTGGGGGCATTTGGGTTTCGGAAAGCCGGCGAGTGCTTGGGAGCGCCTGGGAGCGCTTGGGGGCTTGGGAGCGCCTGAGACCGCTTGGGAGCGCCTCGGAGCGCCGGGGAAGTGCTTGGGGGGCGCCTGGGAGCGCCTGGGAAGCTGGGAGCGCCTGGGAGCGCTTGGGAGTACACGGGAACGCCCAGGAGCGCTTGTGGAAGCGCCCGGAGAGCGCTTGCGAATGCTTGGAGGCGCCTGGCGTTTGGGAACGTTTGGGAGCGCCCGAGACCGCTTGGGAAGCGCCTGGGAGCGCCTGGGAAGCGCTTGGGTCGGCCGGATGGCGATGGGGGGATCAGAACATGGGGGGATGAGTATCCGGTACCGTTTTGCTGGGGTACAATTTGTACCTTCTCTGCGGGTTGCAAGTACAAATTGTACCTTCTCCCCCCCCGTTAACATCCTCGCACATGTCGCGGACGTTGTCAAAAGTACAATTTGTACCTTGTCTGCGTGGCGTCGGTACAAATTGTACCTTCTCCGTGGGGCGTAGGTACAATTTGTACCTCGGTTGCGCCTCTCTCCCCATCTGGACTTATCCCTCCATCTGCATCCCGCAAATTGGGGGCGGATAACTGCACCGTCGACGAAGGCACAAAGATTGCACCCCACAGCCCACCACATACACGTGCCCACTGGATGGACTCAGTCATTCCGTTTTGGATCGCAACGGTTATCTCGTCTTTTGTTCTCTTCGGTGGGATGCGCGTGGGGCCGCGCACGAGCTGCAACTGGCGCATACACATGTTCTCAATCGTGCCCAGACGCTCTCAGACGCATTACGTATCTCTTGCGGGGCACCGGGAACCCACAGGGAGCGCTGTCTGGTGCCGTGCTTGATGCCGCGCCGCGAAGTCTGCCGCGTGCCATGCTGAATGCCGTGCTGGTTGCCGCCCGCGTCAGTGGCAGGGTACCAACAGACGGCTCCTCCCTCTCCTCCTCCTCTTCCTCCTCCTCCTCCTCCTCCTCCTCTTCCTCGGCCTGGGCAGCCCAGTTAGGCGGCGCTTCCTCTTGGGCGCATTCAAAAATAGTCCAAATTTAGTCTTGGTGCGATTTTCCGATTCGTGTTTGTCAATGTTTTAATATTGTTTGAATATTTTCATTCTTCGTCCGAAATCCCCTTGTAGAGGGACCAACCCCGCAAGGGACCCCCGACAGGCTTCCAAAAGGCTACCGGGAGGCCTCCCACGAGACCCCAAACACGCCTCTAAGACGATACGCGTCCAGATGATGCTCCCAGAGATTTCTGGGTAGATTGGTTCGGACCTCGAGGCCGCCCTCGAGACACCAATACGCGTCACAGAGGGTTCCAAATTGCGCCAATAGGTTCCTGAGGCATTCCAAGAGGCCCCCCGAAGCCTCTCGGAGAGACCACGCGTCTACAGCCTAAACGACGTTCCCAGAGTGGTTTCTGGGGACATCGACCCCGAGCTAAAAGTCCCCCTCGAGACCCCGATGAGCCCCACAGGGTCTTCACGTACACCTGTACAAGCGCGAAGAAGCCCTGTGGCACGGCGGCCGCAGCAGCAGTGGCAGCGGGAGGAAACGGAGGAGGAGAAGGAAGAGGAGGAGGAGGAGGAGGAGGAGGAGGAGGAGGAGGAGGAGGAGGGTCAGTGTAAGCCCAAGAATGATCAACGATGTTGGAATCAACCCTCCCTTCAAGCTCCCTCCTCGTAGGCCCCATACACGGGCTCATTTCCACTGAGGGAACTGCCTTGTTGGAAGACAACCGTTGGAATACCCTGAAGCATGCCAAGACACCGTTCTCGGGATTCCATCGCCACGGATCCACCTGACTGTTGCGTCTTGACGATCCTGCATCGCGCAAGAACGCCATTCCCGGGACGTCAGCAACGCGAATACACATAATCGCTGCACCCTCATAATCCTGAGCCCTTCTAAAACGCAAGTTCTGGTACGCTGATCATGGGAAAACGTGGACCTCATGCAAACTCTAAAACGAATGTGCGCGGCGCCAAGGCGAGAGCCACAGTTTGAACATGAACCGCCCTCAATCCGTGAAGCTCTGGCAAATGTTCAGAAATAATGTGCGCGGCTCTAAGGCGAAAGCCGAAAGCGGGTCGCCCCAGTCCGTGAAACTCTTGTAAATGTTTCAAACGAATGCGCGCGGCGCTAAGGCGAGAGCCACAGTTTGAAAAGGAACCTCCCTCAATCCGTGAAGCTCTTGCCATTCGTACAACGGATGTGCGCGGCGCTAAGGCGAGGGCCACATTTTGAAAACGGGTCACCCTGAATCCGTGACGCTCTTGCAAAGGTTTAAGCTTCAGAGTCATCATTGTGAGGAAGTATCAGGCGAAACGCCCGGCCCTCCCTAAAATCTTGCTT